CATCTTCACAGTAGCAGGTCCCTTCTGTCTGCTGGGCCAGCAGGGGACGGGTGTGAGGCATGGGAAGGTAAGACGTCTGGGTTCCCACAGGCTGAGTCACAGGCAGCCATCTGGCTCTCATTAGCCCAGGGCAGCAGGGGGCTCTGTGGGGCGGGACCTGTGGCCTGCTGGGGGCAGGGACACTGGGGCAGGCTGGGGTGTGTGTGTGTGTGTGTGGGTGTGTGTGTGTGTGTGTGTGTGTGTGTGTGTGTGTGTGTGTGTGTGTGTGTGTGTGTGAGCGAGAGATGACTCAAGACCCATGATAACAGCCTATGCGTATTTGGAGAGTGTAAACAGGAGAGGGAGGAAGTGAAGAAAAGGAAAATTGTGGCTGGGAAAGGGGGTTGGTAGGGGACAGTCCCCTTCAAATTCTTTCTACACTCGAGCTGGCCCTGTGGTCCCCAGCTCTGCCTCTGCCAGCATACTGAGCCAGGGTGCCCCCTGGGCTCCCGACCCCCCACCCACAGGGAAGTCTCATTATGGGGCACCTAGGCTTCTGCTGCCCCTAACTGTGATGCCCGGGGAGACGGGGTACGGACATACAGAAGCAGAGCCATAAAGGCTGAGACAGAGGGACAGGCAGCCAGCCAGAGGCCTGGAGAGAAACAGAAATAGAGATGCAGAAGGAACCAGGAGGCCTGAAGAGTGAGGTGCAGGAGAGATGGGGTCTCAGTGGCAGCAGAGATGACCAGTGTAGGACACAGGGAGGGAAATGGAGAAGCCCAGAGCTGTACTGGGGATCAGGTGTAGCCTGATGTATGACAGCTGCAGCCACCAGGCGGTCGTTCAGAGCTCTGCTGTGGGCAGAAGGCTGGATGCACAGAAGTTAGGGACCTAGGAAACTAGAGGAGCGGGCAGTGATGTGAGGAGAGCCAGGTAGTAAGAGCAACACTGGGAGGTCAGGCGGGATTGGCCTGTGGGAGGCCAGGAGGGAAGACTGAGCTTCAGGCCAGACAGCAGCTAACAGGCTAGCTAGCACTACACAGCAAGACCCTGTCACAAAGAGAAAAGGCAGAGGTGGGGCGGAGGAGACGGGGGCAATGATGTTTCCAGGGAGAAGAGTGGGAATCCCATGAACAGAAGTGGGGACATTGTCTGAGACGTGCCAGGCCTAGGGGCCTGCCCTGCTGGCCCCTGAATCACTAAGACAGCCTGTGATAGACGGGCAAAGTGTGTCACTGGCTGGAAGGATGGGAGCCATCAGTCCCCATCTAGCTCTGGGCTGGGCACATCTTCGGGCTCCTCTTCATCAAAGTATCGCTCTTCTTCATCCCGTGCCACGATGTCCAGGTTGTCAAAGTCAGGGTTGTCATCCACCGTGCTGCAGAGAAGGGAGCTGTCAGGCCAGGCGTCAAGGGGGCCGAGGACAGGGGGGCTGAACTCTGGGGGATGCTGGGCCTTTTGGAATCCAAAAGGGGTGTTTCCCAATCAGTCGACATAAAAACACTGGTTTGGGGGGCTGGAGGGATTACTTAGGAGTTAAGAGCACTGGCTGCTCTTCCAGAGGTCCTGAGTTCAATTCCTAGCAACCACATGGTGGCTCATAGCCATGTATAATGAGATCTGATGCCCTCTTCTGGCACACATACGTAACACTGTATATGTGATAAATTTGTTGTTGTTGTTTTATTTTGGTTTTTGGAGACAGGGTTTCTCTGTGGCTTTGGAGGCTGTCCTGGAACTAGCTCTTGTAGACCAGGCTGGGCTCGCACTCACAGAGAGGCATGCACCACCCCCCAGCACTCGGGGAATTTTTTTTAAAAGTACCA